AAAGGCATTTTTTTTGGCAGGAGCTGGAGCAAAGTGGTGTAAAATAAATCATTCTCATGCATTACAGAGTTTTTGCAGCTGACTTGATTTGCATCCGCCTACAACAGGTTTAGTCTACGGAGAAAGCATCCCTATTTCACTGCACCGAATGTCACTTTACTGTCTCTTATTAAGGAGTACAGCTGACAGGAAGCATTGAACCCGCTGCTTTTCACACCCTGCACAGACCTGCTTCTTCAGCCGGATTCATTTTGTCTCCTGCTGTCGTTAGCAGCCGGCTCGCTGGGGCTAACAGATAAATATCTGCACAGCTCTGTGACCCATCAGTAACACACACACACACACACACAGACAAACACACACACACACACACACACACACACACACACAGTGAGGCTGAATCCTCATTACCTGCAGCTCCACCTCCAGCTTGTGTCCACAGCAATCAGTGATCACACCCGCGCTGCTGATTCAGCCTGCTGCTGCTGCTGGGCGCGGAGGTGCGTGTGTGTTTGTGCTTTCAGTGTAAGCGAGCCTAAAAAGCAAATATCCCATGATTGCATTATTTCACAGAAAGCTCAAAGAAAGCAGTAATTGTTTGTTTGCACATGGGCAGCAGGAGAGAGTGTTTGACTGCATTATTAAAGACCGGCTTTAGCAACAAGGTTATCAATCACGCGCTATTATTTTTTTTTGTGTGTGTGTGCATGATTAATCGTGCATGTACAGGAGTGTGTGTGTGTCTCTCCTCTCTCCATCCTCCCCTCGGTGTTTGAAGGTCACGCCTGTCTGTTGGGGCTCGTTACGCTAACAAGCGCTCAGCTCGCTCCCAGGGGCTTCGTCAATGGATCTAGTCTGGGCCAATAGAGGGATTAGGGTTCACATCCAGGGATTGTGGATAAATCTGTGCGCCATTCTTCAATTTTTAACCAGGAATTTAAAAAAATAATAATCTACAGCCTACTAGATCTTTGCTTTGAAGTTCCTCTGACATGCGAGCGGGGAGAGAGGGAGAGCAGAAGAACCCTTATTGATTTTTGACGGGGAAATTTTGGCCTTTGCAGCAGCAGCCAAGTACACCAAAAAAAAAGATATGAAAGGGGAAACTAGAGACAGTTGCAGACGATATCGTCATTGTGCTGCTACTGAGTGTACACTGGCTTGGGAACAGAGACAGACTTACATGTTTGTAGTCGACAGATTTCTAAATTTACAGTTGAGCGCTCGAGCAGGTGTGAAGATGAGCAAATGTAGAATCTGACATTATCAGCTTCACACAGCAGATGTGCACATTTGCATCCTCACAATGCACGTCGTAAATACGAGTAAACATTTATACAAAGCTACGTCCACCCGGGCTAATGTGCACAGACAGCCTGTGACCCGGTGTCATTGACAGATGATGAGATAATTGACCCCTGGGTGCAGACATGTCGGGGAACAGAAGATGAAGCAGTCTTCTTCTTGTTCTGCTCGTTTGTCCTTTTTGTGTCTCTTTCAGTGACATTTTGTCGGCACAGATCAGGGACACCCTGACACCCCCCCCGGGTTCCACTTTATGATTCATGCTCTACATCCCGTTGTGTCATAAGATCACCTCATTCTAAATGTCACTCACAAACATGAGCACTGGCATTTGGAAAAAGGGACTCAAATGCATGGAACTTAGTTAGAGTACGTTAAGCAGCCAGAATTTGGAGAGTGACTGCAGCCTGCAGATCCAAACATCGGTTTCATGTCGGTTTTATGAGTCACATCAGTAGGTCGTCTTTACTTCTGAAGCAGAAACAGCTGGTATAATATCGACTTATCGCCCTCATGGACCGGCTAGATAGTTCTGTTACCGTAACACTTCTAGCCCAATAAATAGAGTGTTAATCATTTTGATTTTCTCAGAGATATTTATGGTCTTGGTCTGGACTTGATCTCGATCCCTAAATGTCTTGGTCTTGTCTCGGTCTCGGAGCACTCTGGTTTCAGGTATGTCTTGGTCTCGGTTAGAGTGGTCTTGACTACAACACTAACGTCTACCTACGACAGCTGCAGGTTTGAATGCGAGCTCTCCTAAAAAGTGAAAATGTTTCTACTTTTAACATGACCTTTTATGTAACTTTGCAAACATTCAAGAAGTTCAAGAATCTAAAGTGACACATTTCAAATAACATGTTTTATCAAACCGACAGTCAAAAGCTCCAAAAATACTGAACTTTCATCCATTAAAAAACAGGAGACTAAAAGATCCTGATGTCTGAGAAGCTGCCACAACATTTATAGACTAAAACCGGCTGTATGTTAATTATTTTGTCTTCATCTCATAATCACGATGTTGATTAATGAGCAGCTGAAGAGTTTCTAATTTAAAGACCAAGGTGATGCAGCAAACTGACGAGCTTGAATGTGTTGACATATTGCGTTATTCTGAGTGATCGTGATGTGAAAGGAAAGCATGCCGCTCTCACTGGTAAGATGCACTGATAGAGACGTACTGTACCGAAATGTAACCGGAGTATGTGTGCACCGCTTGTTATTCTCATCATCACGTCTCCTGATGGCTGCAGCACATGTTCATCCATGAACATGAGGCAGATGACGTGTGGAAGAAACTGACATTATATCCTCGGCTTTCTCGTTAGTGCTTCATTTTCCTTTGCTGTCGATCCCGCGCCGTCCTTGAGCGTTTTTTCCACGGCACCGTAATTGGAGAGAGAGAGTGTGTGTGTGTGTGTGTGTGTGTGTGTGTGTGTGTGTGTGTGTGTGTGTGTGTGTGTGTGTGTGTGTGTGTGTGTGTGTGTGTGTGTGTGTGTGTGTCGGCCGGCCCGGCTGGCGGGGGGCGGAATGTGAGCCGCTGCCAGCAGCCGCCGCTCTGTATGGAGTTGTGTAAAGAGCTGAGATTCAGCCAAACAAACGTTGAACTGTGACTTCGCCCTTGGCTTCGAGTCACTGCTCTCATTATTTATCCCTGTAACTCTTTGCCTCTTCCTCGCAGCAGTCTGTCGTTTACAGCCGTACTTCCCCAAAGTGGTGTCCTCCAGGACGGGTCCCAGGAGTCCGCAGCCAAACTAAAGAGCTGTTAGATTGGACTCTGTTAGGAACACAGCACAGAGGAGGAGAGCCTCTTCTCATTCATCAACTTCTCCCCCTCTAATGTTAATAACAGACGGCTAAAGTTTCTTAAGCTCTTAAGCATGCAGACCTTTTTGTTGTAAAGGGAAAAGGCAATAAAAATCAGCGTGCACAGTGGAGGAACATTTAGTCATAATAAGACACACGCTTTAAAAAAAACCTCAGCTTTTAACTTGTCCTCTGTTATGGAAGCCCTGAGAGGACACGCACCAAGCTGCAACCTCGGCTGTTGAAATATGAAGCTTAATGCGAAAGTGAAAAATCCTGCAGTTCCTCGAGTGTCCACTAGAGGCTGGCTGCAGAAGCACCAGAAGTCACATACACACCCATTCAAAAAAACCTGTTTTTACTGCAGACTTTAACATACTTACAGCCCGGTTCAAGAAAACAAAATAGGTCTGATAAGTTATTGTTGTCATTGACACACACTGTAAAGGGGGGTGATTGGTTTTTTTTTATCACCCATCCATTTTGATTATATGAAGCTACATGTTATCCATAGCTGACCTGATTGACAGGTGGGTGCAGTGTAACGGTTCGTCATGAGGCCTAAAACCCGCCTCAGCTCCAGCTCTCAGCCTGACGTTAAGTTGACTGAAAGTTAGGCTGAGACATGATTTCCAGCATGGCGGCTGCTGCTGATGAACCTCTAGCGCCCCCTGCAGGAACAGACGGCTGACGTCACTCAGGTTTCAAACATTCATATTTACAGTCTGTCACACCTATTGCACACATACATTTTACTCCAATTTCCCTCGATAACGAGTACAATTCAATTGTTTTCTCGAGGATAACAAGTTCATTTCTTGAGACCTAAAAAAAAAAAAATATATATTTTATAAGGCTTAAAACTTCTCCTTTTTTAATGCAATACTAAGAAACGCTTTTCTGGATCACAGGGATGTTATTCAAAAACAAAGAGTCTTAAAGATGATTCTTTTATAAAGACTCTGTCAGTAAAAATCCTCTTAAAGTCACAGTGCTTTTTTTATGTTGCCGTTCTGCAGATGATCAAATGGATAAATTGGCAGCCATGCTGACTTCCTCCATCAAACCCGGTGTGATTCCCAGATCCTCCATCTGATCATCTCGTCTCACTCTTACAAAAGTTTACAATTTATGGCGTCTATGAAGCCGTTCATACGAGAGCATCTTAGGAAAAAGAGAATAACTCAGTGAGGCATTATCCTGTGAATACAAGTAGAAGCCATGATAGCTGCTGTTTAATTGCAGTTGTTCGTTCAGGGAGAAGTAAAGCGTTTTGACATGCTGCAGGTTTAAACCAATACAAAGATGCAAATGTATTTACATTCAAATTCAACTGGTGCTGCGTACAAAACAAGTTTACCAGCTGTGAAATTTTCCTCAGATTGCATCAGAAATGGGCACTGAACTCTGTTAAATAAACAAGCTTTTTTAAAGGTTGTGTGCATGTGTCGCTTTGCAAACAGACCTGACAAAGCATGAACTGGACAAAGCTATTAAATATTCAAGTTTTTCCAACTTCCTGACCAACCCGAGAACTGAAAGAAAAAAATCACCATGACATCTCTTAACGTTGGGTTCATAACACTCGGTAACCAGCAGGATTGAACTCAGATGCACACACAAGGCGGCAGGACTAAGGTGTTAATTCAACGCTGAAAATGAAAGGGAGCTCCAGTGTTAAACAATGAAGATTTTAAGTTTTACTGGAAACTCTTTTTGCAAAAAGCTGCAGAATAAAAGACAGTGAGTTCAAGTTTTCCTCAAATCAAAATAGGATAAAAGTATTCTTACAGTTTGAGAGAGGGTGTTCCTGAGCAATATGCATCTCTTTTAATTTGATCACTCTTGAGACCCTCAGCGCTAAGTGCTTTCTCTTCTGTGTTTTGCAGTCATGCGGAGGAACCCCTTCATGGTGGACGGCTGCTGCAGGAAAGGATCCCGCAATGCCCTGCAGGAGCTCTACAACCCCACACAGGTAGGAAGCCAACTGCTCTCTATGAAACGTTCTGTCACCGGCTCTTAAAGGCAGGGTTGGTCATTTTGAAAAACTAGCATGATTTTGAAAGTAGCATTCCCTCAGTGCTCCGTCTGCACCCACCCCCCCCTCTCCTCTGTGCTCCCTCTAAAGCAACGCCCCCTCACTTACATGCACAAGTGCCGTTGGTCCAGAGTGTGAGCTAGTGCAGGGGTAGAGAACGAGCAAGGAGACAGATGACAGATTTTCTTTATTCCTTTTTTTCAGAGCACATGAGTTATTCATTTCTATCAGGACAATTTCAACCAGAATCTTAAAAAGTGGATCTGGAGGAAATTACCAACCCTGTCTTAAACACTCATCTTTGTTTGCTTCTCTTCTTTGCAAAAACTGACCCAACAAAATCCAACCATGGCAGCGACTCCAGCTGGCTTCGATTCAGCTGTGTTTTCTTGAAACCTGTTTTTAAGCCTCTTCAGCTTGTATGGCTCTTCAACGTGCATTGTTGCTCGGTCTCTGCTTACTTTGACGTGCGTCAAAACCAGTATGTCAAGCCCGAGGTGACAGGACCAACTCAGCTGCCCTCTTTAAACTTCCAGACAGAATTAGCTTAATGGCCGTCCATCTTCCTTCAGGTTGTCTGGGAACTTTACAGTCTGAAGGTGACGGAGCCATCTTCAAGTGTTTCAGGAATCAGATCAGACAACAAGGCACAGAAATAAGGACAGAGGACTAACATCTCCCCTTGCTCAAGGACAGAGAGGAAAGAAAACTAATGTTTGCTCTGAGCAGGTTGTCTTCCTCGCTTGTCTCTATGAATAGCAGCACTATTATTTCCCTGTCGGTGTCTGTTCCAGCCTGTGAAGAATCTATTGTTTTCACCACACAAAGAGTTTCAGGGGATGAGAACTTGACACCTGCCATAAGTACATGATTGCCAGCATGAAATTAAACCATATTAAAGGCTGCAGTTTTAATGGGTCCGCTGTTTCATGCCGGCCGTTTACAGCGTGGGCAGTGAAGAGGTAGAAAGGAGACGGAGACGTGATGAAGATGCAGGACAGCTAATGTTCGCGGTTATTATTAAATCTGAGCAAGCCAAGATTAGAAAGGAAAAGGCTCCAATAATATAACCCCAAATGTGAAGGAAAATGTGTCCAATCCTCTTTTACCAGAATGATTTCATTGATGTTTTAATCTTTATAAATTCTATCTGTGGTTTTGCTCAATTTACTACAAGCCTTTATTTTTTTTTAACGCTCATCGCTGCTGACCACTTTCCAAAGCACATGATGCATTTCAGGATGATTCCCAAAGCTTGCAGGCAGCCGTTAATTTTAGGGCTAAAAAGAGGCTTTTTGGCAGCCAAAATCAGTGCAAGTGGCTGCCAAAGAGTATTGCATTCATAAGCGATATTGTACGGAAATTAGATTTGGAAGACAAAGAGCAAATGTTGGAGAAAGGAGAGTGCTTACTCAGGCGGTGCAAGCCTTGAAGACCCGATCGTGTGGATTTGTTTTTGGCTTGTTTTGAAGTTTTTCTAGTTGTTGTTATTCATTGTTTTATTCAAACTTAAGTCGTCATAGCTCTGATTAAAATGGTTATCAAAGTGATGACTGAAGCCGTCACTGACACTTTAGAATTCAGAGGTCCAAATCAAGCGCGAGTAATCGGACAGATTTAGAGCGATCGAACAGATTTCAGAGTGTGGACATTAAGCCGGCCAGGCCCGGTTCTACAAGGGTGCAAAAATGAGAATATATGACTTTATATTAACGCTATGAGTAGTTTGACTGAATCCCAATCTGAACTAAAGAGCGAAGAAGAACATACTGGAGAACAGGAAACATAATGCAGCAGGTTAATTTGGTGCACGGAGATCGTAGCGGCCGCGTGCAGACGGTCTATGGTCGTGCAGCGATCGCAGGGAATAAACGTCACCTGTGTTCTCACATCAGCTCACTTGGATTTTCTACAGAAAAAATACCAGGAGGCTGACCGGAGAAAGTCAGAGTGAACAATTCAGCTGTTTGCATTCAGACTTGCAGCTCATCCTCAAAACTTCCTGAGTCTTTCAGGAGTTCAACCCACACATTAGGAGAGACACAGACATTATTATCTTCACAGCAGTGCTCTTTCCGAGCTCCTTAACTCTCCAGTGTTGTTGTCCCCTTTTTCTCATACCAAAGTTTTACAACTTCATTACAACCAGCAAGAGCGACTAAACGCTCCAACTTTATGCGTTCCTGCTGCGAGCGAGCCAACATTTTAATAAACTGTTTGAAAAATGATCCTCTTTGGCGTAGACTTCCGAGTGTCCTTGAACGCATCGTTGCAGAGAGGGTTTTTTTGCAACACCTCCTGCTTGCAATGATAATGTTGTTCTGAGAAAAAAAAGAAAAGAAAGCAGAGCAACTTAATATTCACTGTGATGGATTACCAATCTTAAGCAAGTGAAGTGAAACCAACGGGAGCCTTGAAGGTAGCAAATCAATTCAGCAGCCAACTTCATGCTCCAAAACAAGGCTTGGCAAGCATAAACAGTGCTTAGTTTGTGGGCTATATCATGCAGAACCTTCTTCTTCTTTGGTTGTTGTGGAGGGAGGCTTGTTTAATGGTTTTTGCAGAAGCTTTCTCCAGGTTTTGTGTGTTGTCTCTGGTCTATCAGTCGTGTGCTGAATGGAGCAGAGACAGCGGGACACAGCTGGAGGCGATGCTATCACGGTGACGGATTGGATCGTTTCTGCTCCTCTTCTGTTCTCCCGTCACTGTCCTCCTCGCTCTCTATCACCACCTGTCTGCCTGTCCTCTCTCCTCGGCAGCTAAACCCTCACCATGTCTCCTTCCTCCTCACACCTCCAGCTGTCTTTTAATCCTTCTGCTCCGCCTCGTCTCCTCCACGCACTCCCTTTCTTTCGTCCTCCTTTCCTCCATTTATCACCCCACACCTTTTAAAACGCACACCGCGGAGCCTTAAGTGGTTTTCTGGCCGGCTAAGATTAGCTCAGGTGCACGTGGACACGGCCGTGGGTTAATTTTCCGTGGAGGGTTTTTCCACATGTTCTCACTCATGTGAAGCCCCATTGATATATTTCTGTGTGCACAGCGGGCTGTTTCTGCTGCTAGAGTAAACTGAAGCGGGGTGCTCGGGGTCAGTGGTCAGGTGAGAACTGATGCTGTGTGTGTGTGTGTGTGTGTGTGTGTGTGTGTGTGTGTGTGTGTGTGTGTGTGTGTGTGTGTGTGTGTGTGTGTGTGTGTGTGTGTGTGTGTGTGGGGCTCTGTCCTTGTGAGGAGCAGTTTGAATTGTACACCTTCAGAGTGAGGACATTTTTGGCATTCTTCGGCGAGGACGTTTTTACTCGGTCAATTTTAGTTTCCAACTTTCAGTTTGTAGTTCAAGCTTAAAGGTGTGCCGTGTACACGTTTAAGAAACCCATTTTGGAGAACACTGTCGGTTTGATAAGAAATGCAAAACTACAAAAAAAAATGGAATATATGTCTGAAAGATGCCTTAGGCCCCGTCAAAATGGACAAAAATTGAAACTAAGGCAAAGCTGCTCCCACTAAGCTTTTGGAATACTGACCAAATAATTGCTGTCCGTCCAAAACTGTTTCATTTGAAAGTGTAAGAGGAAGTGTGTAACTGCTATCTTGACCTACAGAGTCATATTTTGAAGCCTGTAAGGATGCTGACTAAGCTGCTGTAGATTTTCGGGTTTTTAAAAACTCACCCTGACTCTTCTTCTCCCCTCTCCGTTTAAGACATGTTTTATGACATTAACACATGTTCTGTGGCTTTCTCATGAATATAAACCTCAGATTGAATAAATCTGGAGAAGAAATCATAACTCGAGTCTTCAATTGAAGGCTTAACTTCCAGCTGCTGTGGCCCTGAAGGTAACTCTCAGAGATCCTGGTCCGTGGTATTTTTAGCCTGCGGTGTGTTTGCACATTACATTTACTGAGCTCTGCGTCCTTGGGGCAGACGCCGGCTGCATTAATCAGATTTATAAAATCAGAATGAGTTGATTGGCCACATGTAATAAAAACCTCCAGAGGGAGCGATTTCATGCGGCCACACACACCCGATCAGATATGATCCAAGTGCGGAGCAGGGCGCTGGTTTCCTGACAGTAATAATCTTTCCTCCTCATGGAAACGTTGGTTCTTCCTCTCGGTAATCACAGGCCGGCGCACAGAGGCATGCACACACCGTTATTACAGAAGCAGAGCTCTCGGTTAAACTCTGATTCAGAGATCAGAGCTGCAGCTGCTCGTGCACACTGATCATTTGTGCAAAATGGTGCAACAGGAGGGAATGAGTCACCGCTAACATGAGCACTAATGGAGGGTCATTGTGATGGGAGTGCGTCTGTGTGTTGTTGTTGTTGTTGTTGTTGTTTTGTTTTGGAGGATCTGATGATCTTAATAAAGAAAAGAGAGCAGGTGAAACCCTCCAAAATAAAAGCTTTGGATGATTTTGATTCATGTTGAAGTTTCCACTTGAGATCAAATTTAAATAACCACATACATGTGTGCTTTTGGGTTAAAAAAAATCTTTGTTTGACTTGTTCTTTTAATCTGAAGCAGCTTCATTTGATTCAGTTTTATCTACTGAGATCACATTTTGGGAGCCTGGATCTGGAGAGCAAACCTTTGGAAATCTCCTTAATTTCCATCACCATATCAACAGGAAACACGCTGTTTTGTTACTAAGCTGCATCTCTTGGACGAGCCTAAACTCCCCAAAATCCTGTCATGACCTCCATGATTTCATGAACACACGACCTCTTCTTCTCTCTTACCCTCCTCTTTTTTTCTCTCCTCCTCCTCTGCAGCAGAAGAAAGGCCAGATTGTGCATCCAAAAAGTTAATTCTTTCCCGACTATTATTTCGGTTGCCTAGTAACTTGCACAAAAGATGGACTTGATTTGCGCGATAGAAACCTAAAGCAAAACATAATCAACAAAGTATCTGATCATAAACCCTCATAGCAATCA